CACACCCCCGACATTGGGGGTGTTAGAGCATCATTTTTAAATTTAATGAAAGGGGGCTGGGAGAACACCCCCCCCCCAAAGCCAGCGTGTTGAGGCACCTCAGCCAAACCAGACTGGTTTTAGGAGATGCTGACCCACTGGGTCACTCTTATTTGGGTGCACCCAGCTTTGAAACAGAGGGCCCAGACCTCGTAAGGAACTTACAAGCAGACACCAATTGGTTATAGAGAAGTATTTTCATCAATAGTCATAGGTGCATTGCTTACCTAGGTGCTACAATGACAAGGCACTTTATACATATCTATTTTAGTATAGCACAAAAACTTCCACTGCTGGACTAGCTCAGGGGCATATATCACAGCTACTTACATATGACTGACTGTCATTGGAGGCACAAAAGTTCAGCATGGGGATAAGGTGGGGTTTTGGTTCTGTTCCAGTATTACTAAACTCAAGGCTTCCAAAATCATATATGAGGCCCATAAAAATTAACTTTAAAAATAATACTTGGTTTCTTTTTATTTGCCTTCTGGATTTTTAAATGTTTAAGTCACATTTTTCAGGTTTTTCTCTGCAATGATCAGGGATAGAAACGTAGATTTTTCTACCTCCTCTTAAATGAAAGCTGAGATTGTGGGGTAATCACCACACTCCAGCAAGGGGGGCTTTAAGAAAAACACAAAATAAATAGCAGAACAGGTGGTAACAGTGCTTCTTTCTGAGGCAAACTGCCAATATATAGGCACAGAGGGTTAAATTCTTCTTAGCAGAAATCCAGAGCAACGCCACTGAAATCCAGACTGACATAGATAGAGCTAAAACCAAATTCCTAGCTCAATTTGTTTTCGTTGAGTAATGGTCTTCCTTTGATCTTCTTCCACACTGGTTACAAAGGGAAACTAAAGCTGTCCATATGTTTAGCAGGTTTCTAATGAATAAATGGCTACATACTTTACAAACCAGCTTTATTTATAAACAGTCTATATTTTTATACCATGTTTATCCCAGTAGAGAGATTAACTGCCAAACATAAAGAGAAACAGACCCCAAGATCCTGTCTCCAAAAGGAAAAGTAATGCTAGGTCCAAGAAGAATTGACTGTAAAAATCTGTAAAATCTGCTAACTCCCCTAATCTGGGATTAATTTTAAGGCCATTTGAAAATTGTATTGCTCCTGCTGAAGGCAGTTACACTCTTCCATTGAGGCATTTAAAAATCTTACTCTGCTGTTGCAACTCTCCTTCATTCCAGTTGTTGTGGCCTGGGTCAGCCCTTGAGAATCTTGGCAAGCCCTCCACCGCGGAAGGAAGCAGCAGTCCTGACGCTGAACTCTCACCATGTCTCAGGCGGAATTTGAGAAAGTCGTTGCTATGGTCAGGGAAATGAAGGCTTCGATCTCCAAGCAAGAAAAACTGGAGATTTACAGTCTCTACAAACAAGCCACCATCGGGGACATCAACATCCCCTGCCCTTGTGCAACCGATGTAACAGGCAAAGCCAAATGGGAGGCCTGGAATGGACGCAAAGGGATGAGCAAGGCTGATGCCATGAAGAATTACATAGCAAAAGCAGAAGAGCTGAAAAAAAAGTATGGAGCGTAAAATTAAGCATTCATA